ATTTTGATAGTTTGATTGATGTATTTGCAGCAGCAAAAGCACGAAAGGTTCATATAATGTAACCATGAATACCAGAATGCTAACTGTACAAGATCTAGTTAAGTATATGTGCAGTTGTGTATTTGTTTGTAGTTAAGCACAAAGCTATACAATGGGCTATCTGTGCTTTGCCCACCACGGTTATCGAAACCCGGATTCTAGCGTTGTAAGTCCGCAGACATACCGCTGTGCAGTTGGGATCATAGTTTTGTAAACTAATAAAATTTGTTATTTGTAAACTTAAGTAGTATTTTATCAATCTGTTTTATAATCCATGTACACCACAAGTGACTGGCTTCTCATATAAAACATAAGTTTCAACTAGGGATATAACAGAAATTTATTCTGCATGCTTGAAAGATTACTCTAGCTATGTGACTTTGAACAATACTGGATGACATAAATATCAAAATGGTTTACAAATTATGTAAGTACACCTAGTAGGCTGTACTTCATTAGTTCCAGGTTTACAGTTGTGATATCGTGAGATGTTATATTGTGACTTTATTTTAAGCTTGTGTAAGGCGATAAATAATTCTTTATGTTATTGTCATTAAGTGGGTAATGAGTCACAAAACAAATAATTAAAACATTTCAGAGGTGGGGGACGCCAAAAGTATATTTGCCCCGGGTGCTGAGAACCCTTGTTACGCCACTGTGTGGCACACATTTGATATATATGCTTCATATGGTATTCTCTCCAAGAAATGTGCAACCCATCTGTCTGATTATAAGGTTTATCCACGGTACTACCATGAAATTGCTAAACAACCTTCCTAGCTTCATCTAGCTGTAGTGAAATTTCGCTGATACAAAATATCTTAACAAACCGTTCGCATTTAAATATAGTCAATAATATTATAGACTTCTACAGAAAGGTAATGAAAGCGGTACCTTAGCTATCGTTAGTATAGAATATATCTTATGATAGTTTAGAAACATGTCGTTAATGTTAGAAACATTCTTGTATAAGATTCAGTACCTTTTCTTATCTAGAAGTTTAGATGTTCGATTATAATAAAAATTACATTATCAAAAGGTCACAATTAACTGTCAATTTTTCTTCAACAGATCATTAATGAGAAAACTTACCTGGAAGACAGCATTGGCCTACTATATTACAACGTTCACTCTATATTAAATAATGCACTCTATAATTAATAAGCATAATTTATTATTCGATAATATTTGAGGTATGTTGTATAGTGAAAGTTTTTTTTATCTATCTATGTATACACACACAATTATGGAAAATGTAAACTCCACACATCTGTAATCACTACTACATGCAAATTAACACTTTAAAAACTTCTTTCTGAAGAGATTCACAAACAATAACCCAACTGTGTAGCACATATAGATATCCAAGTAAAATAGACCTACCATTTAGTTCCAGTTTCTGGCCATTAGACTTCGTTAAAGTGAAAAAACTTGTAAAGCCTTCTCACTTAATTCTATAAAAAACTTGTAAAGCCTTCTCACTTAATTCTATAAAAAACTTGTAAAGCCTTCTCGCTTAATTCTATAAAAAACGTAAAGCCTTCTCACTTAATTCTATAAAAAACTTGTAAAGCCTTCTCGCTTTAATTCTATAAAAAACTTTAAAAGCCTTCTCACTTAATTCTATAAAAAACTTGTAAAGCCTTCTCACTTAATGCTATCAATAATTATCCGTAATTCTATGCCTCATATGAATGCTTGCAATAAAATTTTTTGTTCTCCCATAATTTCCTGTATGTGGTACACGCTTGTTTGATTTTGGTAAAAGTTACGAGAATACCATTAAATTTGTAACATCAGTTAAGGTTGTGAATAATAGTATGATGCAAATATGTGTGTGTCACTTGATGATCGAAAATGTTTTTTTTTATTATATTAATTTTCTCACCTATCTCATAAATGTTAATACTTGTGAAATAATTGTAGTAATGTCAGCATTTTAAAGTTTAATATTTTTATATTCGTTGCTTTCTGAATAATTTGGTGGAGACTTTAAAAAAAGCTTGCCATTTTCATGTGTCAGTTTCAAAAAGTTCTCAAAACCATCATTTATTTGTTCACCTGAAAAACATCTTATTGTAAACAATGAGTTAAATTGCCAAGTTATCGGCCCATATGGTTCAGTTATAGCTGTCCCAGATTTTGAACATGCGCAGCAGAGGGACGGAAACCGCCGATTTCACCCGATGTTTAAAAAGACTACTGTCAACCGAACAGAGGAACTGACTGTTACTCTTAAAATGCACCCACAGCTGGAAGTGCAAAACATTTCTGGTAGCATCACGTATCACGATGGAAGAAAGCAGAGGGTTATTATAAATGAAATTCAGTTAAACTGGATTAATATAACAAGTGGGGTACCTCAGATTTATATTAATGACGTAGATGATGGAATGGTCAGTACATTATTAAATTTGCTGTTGATACTAAGGTTTTGGGTGTTGTTGGCTGTGAGGAGGATGCTGCTGCTTTACAAAAGGATTTGGATTATAAATGACAGATGGCTTTTACTTATAACAAATACAAGGTAATGCATGTAGGATATCATAATTTTAATGGGAATAACCTTAATAGTGTTGTAAATGAAAAGGATCTTGGTGTTCTAGTTAAGCCATCCAAGCAATGTACTGTTGCTAGTGGCAGGGTAAATAGGATTCTAGGCTATTGGTTAGAACACATTTGGAGTATTGTGTTCAGTCTTTGGCTCCTTACCTTACGAAGAATACTGAATTGTTGGAAAGGATTCAGAGGAGGGCTACTAGGATGATACCTGGAATGAAAAGGTTGTCATACATGGTTAAAATCTCTCAAAATGTCTCTTAATTTTGTCAAGGTAGGAGTCATCTTCAGCTAAGACAGCTTTATTTTTCTAACAGGGTGGTTGACCTGTGGATTGGGCTGCCTTCAAATGTAGTAAATGCGATTTAAGGGAATTTTTGATAAATATTTAAATGACAAGAAATTGGTTTTGAGTGTTTTATTTTGAAATTTGGTATACTAGATGGGATGGACCAATAGGCCCCTTGTTGTAATTAAATTACACGTATGTATTAAAGTAAAATGTCATTATAACTTAATAGGTATTTAACAATGGTGGTATAAATATATAATTTACATATATATATATATATACACACACACACACATATATATTCCGGTCAGCTTAATTTCATTTTTTATACAGAAGTGATAGTTAGTATTACTAACAAAAATACATAAGGGGCAGTGTTCTGTGGTACTTCTGAATAGGGAATATTATCACAGAGGTAAACCACTACTCCAGATAATAGGGGATTCAAAGTATTGTAATGGATAGAATGTTGTGAAAAGTGGAGAAAACATAAATATTTATGCAACAGCACAAACAAGTTTCACTGCTCATCAAACATCAACAAATTAAAGACTGAAAATAAACAGATCAACTTTCATATTTTACAAGACAGGAACTACAGTACCAAACTCAAAATTAAACTGAAGGATGCAACTGTATAGAGAGTAATAATTAAAAACCAACAACATTCTACAGCATTATCAGGTTCAGTAGATGAATTATTTTGTGAAACTGTGAGAGTGTCTTTTATTGAATGTTCAGATCATGGCCTTTGTGCAGCTGTAAAATCAAATGAAGATCGAATACACAATAAACGATAATTTCACTAGTTGCTAGGCTTCACAAATAAAGAAAGATTACATACATTTTAGGTCCAATTCAACTGTTCTATAGAGAACTGGTTTTAATCTATCAAGGAAATGTGGCTGAAAGAAAACAATTTGTTTTCATGTATTCGTACACAACTATTCAAAGGCTATCTGCACTAGCTGTCCATAACACTGAACCGATACCCGAGAGGGAAGGCAGCTAGTCAACAGCACTTTCTTTCATTGAATAGTGGAATTTGATTATTACCCTTATAATGACTCACAGTCTGGAATGCTAACCACTACTGGACCATTATCACCCTAAAGGAAAGTGTACAAGTTATATCATATAAACTTGTTTCTTTCATAAAATATGTTTGTAGTCAGAACCAACATTATTTTAGAAATTGTACGAGGATGAGCTGCTCAATGAAACAACAGAAGTACAGGTGGTCCAATAGTGTGGCTTTGAAGATGTTGAAAGACAGTGGACAGATTTTGGAGAAAATTCAGAGTATATTTTAATGATACATGCACAATACAACCCTTACCTTCAGTACCAGCCTGATAAAAAAAAAACTGCAAAAGATTTTCTGATGAAAAATTAAAACATGTTATGACAAAATAATCTAGTGTCAAAAATAAGCCAGAGGGATTCAAGTGTATTGGAGAATGTGAGAAGTGTGATACAAGATCGTTTAAATAATCAAGATTGACAATTCTTAGCACAGCTTGTTATCTAACAGTTTTGTCTAATGTGTGCAATATAACCATATTCGAACTTGTAGCAATAGACAAAATAGAGGATACTTTCTTCATTAGAGAACAAAAGTTACTGAAAGCTAGAATCATAAAAAAAAATGCCTGAATCCTATAGGTGTGCTAGTTTTAAACCTCGCAGTACTGAATATTATCAAAGCTATATATCTAACAATCTAGAAGATTTATTGTTCAATGTTTTGCCCAATGACTTAATCATTAATGTTTCTTAACTTATTTCATATATCTAGATATTGCATGCTTTCATGACTTCAAGTTTATGGTATCTCTAATGAATTATATCAATTGAATAAGTTATTTTAAAGGTTGTTGGTAGAACTAAGGATTACACAGCTCATACTACTCTTCATTAGCCCATTAATGCAATATAGTTGATGGCTACCAAGTAACCAGTTCAATAGAATTCAGGTTTTAAAATACACAGTTATCTGAATTCTATATATCCACTTCGTTATACTTCTGTTACTTTCTGTAATCCATACACGAAATTTATCATATATATACATAGAAAGAGAGAGAAAAACAGACACGATTCTTAATCTTACAGAGAATTCATTTTGTTTATTAAAATACTAGTTTTCAGAAAGAATGAAAAATCATTTGAGATATTTACAAGTATGAACTGAATATAGAAATTATTTTAGAGAAATCTGTATGTTGTAAATACAGGTGATAGTTTGCAAAATGTTCGTTAAAATGCAATTGGTTTTATTTAGAGTTTCACAGGTGAGTAATTAGTTTTACCATGATTATGTAGTGAACAATAAAATGGCAGTATTAGAACACAAAACTTTAAATACACAACTAGTAATTTTACAGAATTTGTACAAGGGGTGAATTTTCTGCATAACAAATTTAACATGAATTTCCTTCGTAAGGAACAAAATAAGAAGATGCTAAATCTGAAGATTGACACGGAATAAGTAATTAAAATAATTGTTAATTACTCTTTTTGATTTTTGTTGAGGGGATGTCAATATTAATTGTATCATTTCCTAAAATAAGTCGAAATCTTTTGGTTCCAGGCTGTGGGAGAGAATCTGTCAAAGATGATGATGACGAAGAGAATAAAGAACTGTCAAGGTAACTTGAACCTCTTGGTACAAAAGCTTGATCAGCATCTACACAATCAGAATTTTTTTTGAGATCACATGAAGAGAATTTTAGTTTAGTACTTTTACATTTTTCTATGTTTATTTTCTTTTTCTTCTTCTGTTTGTGTTTCTTCTTCTTCTTCATGAAGCTTGAAGATGAGCTCCATTCTCCATCACTGCTCTTAACCGGAAGAATTTCATAAATCATGTTTTGTTTCATAGAATATTTAGAGACTTTAGGTTGCTTAAGATGGGCCTGATCTTCTATAACTGGATTTCTTCTCACACGAATGGTGAGTTTCAGACACCTTTGGGATGGATCTTTGTCAGATGAAAACTTGCTGCTACTGTTTTCATTCACCCTACGTTGTTTTTTTCTGTCATACTGTGTACATTCTGAACTGAAATGAGGAGAATTTCTCTTGCTGTTATTTTGAATCTTTCTTGAAGTGGAATCAGTTAATGCCCAATTTAATGGATCAGTTGGCTTATCACGGCTTAACTTAAAATATGAGGAATTAGAGAACAAGCTGTGTTGTGGCTTATGGTCAACAATCATTTCATTTGTTTGAATTGTGTCACTACTCTTGATAAACTCTAAACCTTCACCCTGTCCTATCGGTAAGACTGTATGTAAGAAAGACTGCTCTGATCTGGTATCGTTTGGTGGAGAAACTGGAAAATTTTCTGAAGACTTTTCATTGATAGCTTGTAAACTTATCTGACCTGCTAATTCCCTCAAACAGTTGGTCATAGTTTCATTTAGCTGCTTACTTGATTCACGTTTTTTTCCCTTCAACCTTCTTGCTGGTCTTCTTAATCTGGAAGCAATACTATCAGTTTCAGAAACACTCTGAAGTGACAAGGGATTCTTGATTTCTTTTGTATTCTGTGCAGAGCCAGAAGTACAATTTATCAGTATCTTTGTAAATGGAACACAACTAGAAAAACTGTGTTCCTTCACACTAGATGATCTCTCTAAACACCTTCTGTTGACTGAGCATTTCTTCCTGTCTACAAGCAAACTTTTTTTGTTTTGTTTTAATATCACCTGATCACCTTCATGTTCATAATTGTTTTTGACGGTGCAAAAGTTAACATTTTGAGTTGATCCTAAGCTACCCAACTTTTCTGAAGTTGTGTAACTACTTTTCTCAGAAAGAAGTGAAACGGAGTTTGATACCTTTTGTAGCGACCGTTTGTCATAGCTGGTTCTTCCTGCCTTTTCAGTTTCTTTTGTTTTAGTAATTGCTGTCTGCTGAACATTTTGCTGTTCTAAAGATTTAGATTCTATGTCATACAAGCCTACATTAGAAGAAACATAATGGAAAACACTATGTGACTTCTTCAAAAAGTCTTTTTTTAAAAAATTACTTTGTGATAAGGAATTTTCAAGATTAGGTCCTCCTGTATCATCCATGTTCTTTTTATATTTATTTTGAAATCCACTATTTAAATGCTTGTAATTTCTTGTTCTGGAGCGTGTCACTCGCTGGCAACTTGTTGATAAATTAACCTTTCCACAAAGACCTAACATCATTTTGTTCCTTGTATTTTTAATGCCTTCATCACAAGCTTCTAAATCTTGAGGATGAGATTTGTGTGGATATATTTGATGAGGGGACTGCTGAAAGTTATTTGTATTTTTAAAATCTATATTAGATAAAACCACATCATGGGATTCTCTTCTTTCCCTTGATCTTAAACGTGTTGAAATACAAACATTTCTTTTGGTTGAAAATCTTTGTGCTGGTTGTGAAAATGTGTTTATCTTACTGAGATGCTGTTGCTTCTCTTGATTCATAACTTGATCAACATTTACACATGCTTCCGGCTGCAAGTCACCAGAACTTGTTTCTACAGTTTTTCTAACTGTTTGAATTGGCAAGTCAGGAGTCTGTAGAAAAGGTTCCTCAGAATTGTCCAATATGATGGCTTTCCAGTGATGGGATTTTGTTTTTTTAGGACACAAACTATCCTTACAAGAAAAACAATTCATGTTTTCTCTGCGAGTAGACCTTTCAGAAAAATCGGATGATTTGTCGTAACTGTTTTCACGGATGCTACTAGAAGATGATAGTCTGATTACCGATTCTTCCTCTGCAAGACTCGTTGAACATGATGAAGTTTGGGAATTTTTTCTAGTATTAATATCTGATGATAATATCACTTTCTGAAAATCTTTTGAGTCAATATTGACATTGTTGATGTTTCTTCGAGCATTCATTTTGATTCCATTATAGAATTTATTCATGCTATTTTCTTCTTTGGATTTTGAAAGTTCGGAGCACAGTTGTGCCTGCTGTACACAAGGCAGGTCATTTAGTTTTTCTAACAGAGAAAGTTTAAAAACATCTTTCTCATATTCAAGTTCATTACAATCATGTTCAGGTTTTTGTTGTTTGAAATTCTGAATTGCACACAATTTATTTTCATAATTTCTATGAATCACACCACTGTTTCCTTTGTTCTTAAATGGTTCATAGTTGTGTTTTTTTTCTAAACATAATGGTAGGAAGCTCATAGAATTTTCTTGCTTGCAATCAGGAAATTGTTCACTTGAATAACACGCATGGTTTTCATTCAACTTTTCACTCAGTTTCTCTCTCATCTTGTTCACTGGAGAAATCCCTTTAAAACTGTAAGGAATAGGCTGATCTAGAGAAACATTATAGTTTTCAAAATCAGTTTCACAGCTCTTATATTTCTTTATATGTTTGTGGTTATAATATCTTCTTTTAAACTTGTCAGACTGGAACTTGGTACCATCATGATGACTCTCTTTCTTTCTTGATATATTTTGGTGGGTCAAGTCTTTCTTGGGAGATAGTACAATTTTGGGTTCTCTGAATCTATAACCTTGAGAAAGCAAGAGTTGTGCATCGTACCGGGCGAGGCCCCTCTTTCGAAGTTCTCTCATTGTAGAATTCTGCAATATATTATTAACAATCGGTTCTGTAAGCAAAGAAAAGAAATGTTTAGACAGCTAGCTATGAATGTAAGAACTACATTATAAAAGTAAACAGACAAGAAATGTTCAAGTAACTTATAAGATGTCATACACAGAACCCAATACGCATCAAACATTCAACCACAGTTATATACTGACAATTATTTAAGTGCTGTTATAAAAAAGTTAAAGATGATTATTTTACTAAAATGGATATATTTTAAAACCTAAAAAATGTCCAAGTCAAGAAAACACAATAGCTATTATACGAAAACTAAGCTTAATTTTTCATAGGTATCAAAGTAAGAGAAATTAATTCACACATACTTATATATATAAAATGACCTGTTTTCTTTCCGTAAAATATACTATTCTTCTTATCCTTCAATTATCAATATTTAAATGACAAGTCCAGCTGCCTGCTAAATTTGATCTTTCACTCTTAGTAAAAACAACACAGTTTTAAGATGTGTACTACATGGACATAATTATCTACAAAACAAATCACAATGTAGAACTAAACTGATGTAACTACATCAGAATAAATACTTAATTGTTTTTAAATTTTCTTAAGTTTACTATAGTATTTATCTAAAATGCTTGTAACAATTCTGGGTTAGTTACTCATCTTTAATTACTTTTTTTTTACTAAAGAAAAAAAACCATTAATAGATCTTGAAATTGATAAAGTATTCTTTCTGCAATTTGTTCAAGTTAAACGTAAACATTCTTCACTACTCCAGAGCTAAAATCTGATTAAAAAATATTAACTAATTACTGAACTGTTTAATATTGTCCTCGGTAGATAAATTAGTAAATTAAATACAAACGAGAACTAAGTTGTAAGACATACAAGTTCATCAATTACTTACTTTTCTTGTAACCAAGCTTTTCAGAATATTAACTTGCATATTTACATACTATTGCCAGATATAGGAATCTTAACTGATGTATTTGACTACTTCCATTATTAACTTGACTCACCTGAAGATGTATTATTTGTAGTCTTCTCTGCACATTTTGATTATTTCCATTAACTTGACTTACCTAAAGATACACTATTTGTAGTCTTCTCTGCATATTTTGATTATTTCCATTATCCTGACTTACCTAATGATGCACAAAATGTGCAGAGAAGACTACAAATAAGATTATTTCCATTAACTTGACTTACCTAAAGATACACTATTTGTAGTCTTCTCTGCATATTTTGATTATTTCCATTATCCTGACTTACCTAATGATGCACTGTTTATAGTCTTCTCTGCACAAGTTGCTTGCCGCTTCATTCTGTTTAAACGATTGTCTGTTTCTCTGAAACTGTAAGAAGACTTGGTTTCTCCCTCTTCCATTTTAACTTGGTAAGCAGAGAATGCACCAGTACCCTTTCTGCTTAAAAAAAGCAAGCCAACTTTAAAAACTACAAGATAAATGATTACCGACTGAAACTTCTAGGACTTCCATCACATGCACTTGTCTTTACTGTAGTTATTCAAACTTCAATAAATAAAAACTTAAATATTTTCAGATTCTAGAATTTTCATCAAGTCATTGATCAACCCAACCTTAAAAAATAAATTATTGGAATTATTATTATTATGTTTTAATCAATAATTGGTATATTTTGAAAAGGAAGACAGGTAAAAGTAGAAATAAAACAGTTCATAAAGAGGAAAAAAAAATCAAATCCTATTATTCATAAATGGTTTTAAGTAGCTTTAACCTTATCCAGGCCAGAGACATCTCTACATATCCCATGTTCTTTTCATTCTCAGTGAAAATAATAAACAAAATAACATGAAAGTTAGTACAACTTTTTTAAATAGTGTGTTGTTTTTACCCAAACTTTCTATTTGAATTTTATCGCATACCTTCACTTTTTTTTACTTGTTTAACCTTTACTAATACATTTCTTTTACCAACTGAAGTACTTGGTTTTGTGCTGTAAATCATATAAACCTGTTACGACTAACAAAGATTTATCAGTTGACAAAGACCTCAACTTTTAGTATGGCAATTACCTTTGTCAGATATGATATTTTGAAATGAAAATCTATATCTAATAACTTAGTTTGTTTACAATAAATAAGAAGTTTTATATGTGTGTGTGTGTGTGTTACTTTAACACAACAGAATCAGCAATTGTGTTGTCTCGGATCATAGCCCATCATCCTCAATAACCTTAATTTCCTTATCTGATATCTTGTTGGCTTTGAAATGAACATAACACTAAAATATTAATATGAATACAAAGAACATCATAAAAAACTATTAAAAAGATTCCAAGCTTCAAACTGAGAAGTATTTAAAAACTTTAAAGGTTAGCATCTCCTTTTTCTGACTATCATTGAAATACATTTACAAATGACAGAAATGAAAGTTTGAAGATTTCTTAAAATTTAATTTATGAGATAATAAAACAGACAAACATTTTATAATGTTAAAATAAAAATTATGCAATATTTTTGAACAAAAAACAAACATTGAAATAGAATTATATCTTTTAACTCTTTGGAAACCAGACATCCTGTATTCCCAAGAAAATTGTATATCTGATTGGTTTATTTTATATTTTATTGAAGAAATGCACTAAAAATCATATAACATTGAATTCAGTGTGGAAAACCTTATCACAGTATGCACAAAAGCTCCTTGGGAATAGGATCAGCTGCCATACCAGTGCAATACACTCTATGGTAAGCAAGGGGTTAACTAAAGTTTCAAAGTTGATTTGTGGGTGTGCACTCAGATTGATCTGAACATTCCCTGGTTGGGAAGGGGTGGTGAGAAAACATTATCATGCAATCTTTTTATTAACCCAAGTTCTGAATTCAGCAAGCCCTGTTCTTTCTATTTCGATTAAGGTTTAAAGAAAGTTATCATATTTTATTTCAAAACTTAAAGAAAGAAAAAAAGTGCCCTTACCTTTCACATGTTTCACATTCGCAATAACAGTTTTTATCACCAAAAAAATCCTCTCCATAGAAACAAGTGATTTCTTCTCCCACATCAATTTCTCTCAGTACTTTAACGCATGCAGTATCTCGGCCTGTTGATACAAACTGGAAAAATGAGAGAAATTTAGACATTCCTATTCATATCCCTTATATTAGTTCTGAACTTAAGCTTCTTTAGAATAAGTTAAAACTGATTTTACTTGCCTACAATCAACTTAAAATTTATACTTAATTTATGCAAATAGATTATAAAACAAAATTACTTAATTACACAGGAATAAAAAGTACAAAGCAGAAATTGCATTTCTTCAAGACTTATTTATCCAAATTCTAACAAAAAGCTATGTAAGCTATAGGCTTAAGTATTATATTTATTAACACTAACAATGTAGTCATTGAAACAATTTCATATGGTTGGCATTAATGTATCAAAGAACTGAATTTGACTGATTACAATTATTTGCCACATGAGTGTTATTTGGTCAAAGCTGAGTACAATGTCCATTTACATGACGTTAATTTTATATCTTATGTATCTTTATTCTATTTTATTACTGATTGTTTTTTGTTAAAAAAGAATCAGCAGAACCTGATACGAGAGAACATTTTGCCAAATGTATATTTCCAAACAGCTATTAAAACTTTGAAACATTATTATGACACCCATTTCCACAGTAACTTTTTCATTACTTCAAGTAGGTTCTAACATTTGTAACAAAAGTTTCCAGACCTTGCTGGTGTATATCAACTTTCTTTTTTTTAACATTGTTCAAACATCTTATTATTGTTGCACAGATTATTAACTAAAATCTTCACAAACGATAACAAAACTACAAAGTGATCAAGAACTGATTTTAAAAATTCATAATCCATTACTCAAATTGTCATTTTTCAAGAAAATCTATGACATTTCAATTAAAGAATAAGTAACAAATATGTTCATATACACGACGTCACACAACATTTAGTTTCCTGTTTTTGGCTAACATAATTGGCAGCTATGTAGCTTTTGTGACCACTAGTCTCATGATTTTTATTAATATCGGATGAAATAAGGATCAATGAAACCCCATATATGCATTAAGAATGAAGTTACCTTACAGTTTGGTCTGCAGTCATGGTTAATAAAAGCAGCAGGTCCTAGCCACAACTGAGCACAGTTCTTACGACAAGAGTACATAACACTGAAGTCATTCTTGCCAGGCTGAAGCAGCTGGGATTCTTCCTTCTCTGTCAGTTCTGCAATACAACCAACTAGGTAGGTGATCTTGTCATTTTTCTCCCTGAAATAAATTTCTTCTTTGAATGAAGTTTGAACATCTTTACATATTGTTAGTTATCCTATTGCACTGGAAAGGTTCAAGAAAATAAACAAACATTACTGCAATATGTTAATACATTCCTATTTAGCAGTATGTGATAATCTGCACGTTGCAAATGTTTACACTCCTCTCATTTCTAGTGCAACAAAAACTGTCATTGGTATCTTGCATGTTTATCTCATGGTGCTAATGTCAGCCAGCAATTTATGGAGAGAAAATACATCAAGCTTACCTTCGATGAGATGCCCAGCAATAAAGCATAACCAAATATTAGCAAAAATGTATTTCTTTGAGTGAAGAATCAAAAATATCTAGATTTCACAAATAGTATTTTTAATTGCTAGCTGAGAAAGAATTTTCAAACTTGCTACCACACAATCAGTTGACATAATTTTCACTTCAAAACCACTAAACTAATAATGAGTCTATTATTAAGTTTGTTTTTCAAAAATTGGTTAACTATTAATAAAACAAAACTTGAATCATTTCATAATTAAAAAAATATCTTCAGTGTTTGTAAGTACCAATGCCTACAAAGATTACATATTTGTTCTACGATTCTAATTGTGTATGCATGTCTGTCTGGAATGGGCAATGAAAAAAAAAATATATATATATACATATATCACCTTAGTTATCTTTCAGAAAACTCATCTCAACAGTGGACACATTTATAGCCAGGGCAGATGGGTTTATATCTTTCCATATAGGTTCAGTTGATGTGACTGACCGAGTAACCACAAAGTAATCATCAGTTTCCATACTGTAACTTTCAACATATTTTGTGTATCTTCACAAAATCTGGCAAGCTTTTAGTAAACAGTATTTTTTTGCATACAGAAAAATCAGATTTTTTAATTAAGTAATTTTACTAAATACATTCTGTGAATATATGGAGTCAGAGTTTTGATTGCTTCAAGTGCAAAATGGTTTCCACTTTAAAACTCAAAATACTTTGCTTCTTCCAAAATCCAAAAATTTTCAACTTTCATTTATGTAAACTCTAAAACCTCCTAAATAAATAACATTCTTTTTTTTTGTTGAACTCCATATTTTATCTGTCATTTTCTCTACCCTAACTCTATATGGACTCAGTTGATTTCACCAATTTTGTAACCACCATAGAAATATATGAAAAAAACCAACTAAATTAACCTTTTTCTTTCTAGAATGATTGCAAACTGCAACAGGAAATTACATTTGTTTATACCATATAGCTTAAGGCTTGTAACAATATACAGCTGTTACTACTTAATTTTATTGTTTTATTGCCTTTTGAACCACTATAACTAATAATCCAGCCACACAAGTTGCAAATCACTTGGCAAACATGTAGCTCAAGTTAGCATATTGAATAATGTAACGCACAAGTTATTCATTTTCTTACCTAATGTAACTAAATAAGTTTCTAATTTTCACATTTTCATGAATTTTATAACAATAAATAAAAAATATACATGAAAAACAAGAAATCTAGTACATACTTTTGACCTCGATTTTTTGCTGTTGGTTGCCAATGCAATTTAAGCATTTTTGTTTTATACTGATGGTACTAGTACACTAAATAATTTTTATTTACCTAAATAATGCATCTAAGAACACAGAATAATAACATGCACAAACCAAACAATATCCTATAACTATTATAATTTAATTGACTTTCTAACTATGGCATAAGAGCCTTTAAATAATTTCTTAACTTTCTTGATCTCAACACTACAAGGGAAACTTTCAAACTGAAAACAAAATAGAAAATATAATATGTCATTTGATAGATGAAAACTATCTTTCTATTGGTTATAAATGATGTTGTATAAAATGTCAGAGAGAATTATTGGCAATGTTTGAAAAAAGAGGATGTGACAGGTGGGTGTGGCAAGTGGGTCTGACTTTCTAGTTTATGTCTATAAACAAAGATAATTGAAGGCTATAAAAATTTCACTTTGCCTTAGCAATATCTATAAGATAATGAGTAATTTATGTCAAACTCTGTACTTCAGAGAGAGGTAGTAAATAAAATAGAGAATGACCTAGAGATCAAATGACATGATTCTCACTCAAGGGGAGATTAAGGATTTATTTAAATAGAAATAAGATCTACAAAGCGGCTTAGAAGAGAAACACTGTCTTCTATGCAGTAATTGTTTAAAGGTATTGTAGTTTAAAATTGGATTTAAAACCAAATAAAAGGAAATGAATTAAAGTTAACACTGGAATAAAGACAGCAAAAATCTTATCAAATTGAACAGTTTAAATTTCAATAAACATATCTGTTCACGACAATGCTGAAGAAAAGAAAAATTAATTTCGAGTGCAAGTGCTTATGGACTATTGGTGGAGTGCTATTGTAAGGTGATGATTACATCATGCACAAGCACAGTTCATGTTAAAACACATCTTAGGTGGGAAATACCTCAAGGCAAGTAGCATGTGAAAAATCAGAAAAGCAGAGATGCAAATAATAGCTACTGTGTGAAGATGTAAGTGGATACTACATGGTAGTGTAAAGACATTTGATCGTCACTTACTTACACAACATTAAATAATTGTTATTAATTTCTGGGAGAGAAAAAAACAGGTGAAGGGGATTCAGCCCCCTGGACCCCTTCCAAGACCTGTTTATACAACACTGAAAGTTATTAATTCCTAAAAATAAAAAAAATGGAGAGAGGTCCAAAGCTCTTCTCTTAGTTCTGCACCTGCTTATACAACTTTAGAGAAGTTTTTTTAATTCTGGAAAAATATGGATAGGGTATTCAAACACTGACCCTTTCTAACTTTCCCCTGGATTTGTGTATGAAAATATAAAATCAAAGAACACTGTTACATAATCAAAAATTAGAAACATAATACAATGTAAAAAAAAACCAGAACATTTAGACTTTATTTCACATTTAAGTATTTAATTTCTGTAGTGCATATTGGTATATAGAAAACATATTAATATTAGAAATAAACGACCTTATTATTTAAACCATTTAAAGCTTTGTACTGTCAGATTCAGTTTGTGTTTTAGTGAATGCTCCTGAAGAAGCTGTAAAGAGATACGTTGAGTATCTAATTAAATAAAAACAACATTTTGGTGTTATAAGATCATTTATTTCTAGTATTAACATACTTAAGTAGCCAGAAAGTTTGCAGTGGGTACTTTGTGATGATAGTCTTAGCAGCAATGGTAACTGAACCCGAGACCCTCAAAGCATGAAGTACGTTATGGTAGGTATAGTTTCATAGTTGCAGAGTCAGCCAAAGTGATCAAGCCTGTATATGGAGAATTAATTGATAAAATAATCCAGTGTCATCTATATGCAGTTTGTTTGTTTGCTTTAGAGCAAAGCCACAATGGGCCATCTATTGTGACCACTGCAAGGAAACAAACTCCAGATTCTGCTGCAAGTACATAAACTTACTGCTGACCTACAAGGGTGACATGCAGTTTGGAATAATTGGGTAGGAAATGGTATAGCCGATATGGGCCACATGGCCTTTAGTTATCCCTAAAAAAAGAAATGCTCAGCTCTTTTAACTTTCACTATGTTGAGTTATCACTTCTTAGATTTTATTAGTTACCCCAAAGGAATAACAACTTCCAATAAAAAAATAGGCTAATGATTTCTTTCTTGCCTGAAACTTACTTCCTAGGGGGAGAAAAAATATATGCTGAAATGTCATAAATGTGGTAAATTGTTTTATTTAGGACAGCAGTTAATTATAAAAATTATAAGTTATCACGTATTGCAAACTGAATTTACATTTAGTTTATCTCTTAATTCAACTAAGAATCATTAATGAGTTACTCTGAAAATAGTGTGATGGTAAGTGAATTAGGAGCTAATAAAATGATGCAAATTGATTATTACCGAGTTGCTTTATTCTGTTATTTATAAGATATCACCTACTGATTCAGTTACAACAGATTTCTGTTTTTGCTCAAGCTTTTCTTTTGGATGGATTTCAAGTATTTCTGTGTGTTACATTAACCCATGATACTTATGTTGTAATCATTATTGTTTAACTAGACCTTAAAAGAGAAGTAACATACAAATGGAAGTAATATACAGATTAGGATATTACTAACAATACACACACTATCATGTAGGCTGCATAGCAATGGATAGTATGTTACCTTTAAGGATGATAACACATGCAGTGACACTGAATGATAACTTTTGTTATGATCCAAGTTATGCAAAATGAGCTCTGGTAACATTTTTATTAACTGATGTTCTCTATCATTCATTGCCGATGTGGCATGCTTTTAAAAATACATATTTATTTAGAACTAAAATGAAGTAAATAACTGCTGCAGCTAAGTAGACACAGATTGAATTCATCCCTTCATGCCTCTAGCTCAAGGATTAGAATATATGATAAAATATGTGAGGGATAAAAACAAAGATTTGCTACCCTTGATTGATAGGTGCTAATGTTGCAAATATTTAGTCCAGTGTTCACTACTTCACTTAGGTGTGTGTACCAATTGGCGTTACTTCCCATAGTGGTAAATAATGGCAAAACAGAGGTTTTTTTGAAAGCCAATTTAAAACATGTTTTACACATTTAACAATCAAATTTTGCTTTCATACCATTAAGAAATGGAATACTTCTACCAAAAACATCATTTGTCTCTAATATCAAAAGTAGGCAAAGTTGGTGAAGGAAATTTTGTAGACCTGTGATAATGGTGCATATTGTTCAGGATAAAGCAAAACATTTAATTATGGAGAAGAGTAAATAAGCATGCATATTTATGTAAAATAAGCAAGTAATGTAATAAAAGAAAAAAGATTACAGTACTATTCTTCTTTTCCATTTTTATTTTGGCTACAAAACCAGTTTTGTTTGATTTTTAAGGTCCTGTTAGTTAAAAAGCTGACAGCAAATTATGAAATTCACTATTAGAAATAAGAATAAATTTTTATTAAAATCTGTTAAAAGTGACAAATACTACTTTAGTTTGAAAATTATTTTTCAGCATTGCAAAAACAAAAAATATTACACATATTCTAATTCTAGTTACAAAAATTCCAGAACAAGTCTTATACACACTAATAATAAACAAGGTATACAACATCATTGAAACATATACACCCAAATCTTTTCATAATATACTAACCATTTCACTGTTGCACAAATTTTAGCTCCAACATTTCCCTCCATTGAGTACCGTTTGCAAGGCTTCATTTCAAAACCAGCCTCCTTGTCAAACATCCTCAGGTAGCGAAAGGCCTATAAAAATATGATACCTATAAAATAAGGGCTTGTTTCATGACAAATGTATACATATAAACTGTATTCACACTAATATTAATTAGCCCATATTAAAACAAATTCTTCCATACTAGTAATGGCTAACGTGTTTGTAAACGCAAGTTTTTATAAAAACAACAAAAGCTAGGTTTGAAAACAAGCCATTAATTAAAAATAAATACAAAAATACAGCAATGTTTTGGCCTGTTCAAAATATCTCGCATATATTCTATTTCTACCAATAGATTTTATGCTAATTACAGAAGCTAGCACTAAGAATTAACTATAAACCAATTAAATGTTGACCTATATTACACAACTTGTGAACAAAACATCATGTGACAAACTTATACAACGTCAGATATGACTTTACAAGTTGCCAAAACAAGAAAGCACCATTATACATATCTATGCATTGTCAAGTTTTATATAAAATATCAAAATGTAGAACAATAAAAATAAAATGTAAACACAATAAAGCAATATAAATGTTGTTGCTGTTTTCTTAGTGCAAAGCTACACAATGGACTGTCTGCATTATGTCCACCGTGGGGAATCAAACACCAGATTTTAGTAATGTAAGTCTGTAAACTTACTGCTGACCCACTATGAACACTTTATACACTGTAAAAGCAACAGCTACTGGTTATCTTAAAGTGAAAGAAAACAACAATTCTATAAGAAAATTATATTTAATTGGCTATGTTCATTACCAGATTGATTTTTAGTTTAGTTGCAAGTAGGTTAGCTTGCTCTGATTGGAGGTTAATGTTAATTTTACAGCAAATTGCAACTTGTGTAGTATATTAATTACATATGATGATAAACAGAAAACTTCAACTACTTCAATTCAAAATCACCTGATAAATACACATTCTCATAACTAAAAGCCTTTGCAACGAATGTTAAAGTCCAATGGATCAAACATTGAAGTAAGGTTCTGAGATGTTTACCAAATGACAAACCATTCAGAAATATTATCAACAAAATAAAACTACAGGACATCAATTATCATTATTCTAAGGAGTTACACAATACAATCAATGAAATAACTGCAGTGGATAGCCACACATACTCAATTGTTACTGATGAGGAGTTTGTTTGCTTTGTGCACAAAGCACAATCACTAAGTGAAACTCATTTTTCTGAAAACGTCACCCATATGTAGTTGAAAAGTGCTAGACTGCAGTTGCTGGTCAGATTTTACAAGTCGATGTCATTTCTCTAACATTACATATCTGGTCATGCTCAATGTAAAAAAAAAAAAAAAGTTTACATTAGTTTCACTGTACATTGGATCAAGAACTAAAAACGTAGCATCATAGGCTGAATAATTTCACAAGTTATCCCAACTGTGACATGGGAAAAATGAAAACATTTTTGAGAGAAGGTCCTGAAGCAAAGATTTGCTGAAATAGAAAGCAATCATAACTTTCCTCAGTTACTTTCTTGGATTAATGCTTCAATATGCATGTGCCTTTTTTTGATGAAAAAAAATCACAGAATACAGTCAAGTCCATGGAAAAAAAGCAAAAAGTAGAATTCCTATGGAATTCAAAGGATTCAAATGATGCTTCAAATTAAAGTATCATCTACAAAAAGCATTAGCATGATCATGTACTACATAGAAATCAAAATCAGTCAAGACTTATTTCAATGAAATACATCCAGGTTTATATTCAAGCACTTACAGAGTTCGTTGTTATTACATTTGAACTTTCATTTGTTAGCTACCAGTATATTATTATAAAAGGCTCCTAGTTAAAGTCTTTGTTTTTCTTTCATCACAGTATAAGTAAACACTTGTTTTTAGTATGTGCACAGACAAATATATTTCCCACCTAGTCATTCAAAATGCATAATCTGAAGAACTAGATACAATCACAGTTAGACAGTATTGTCAGTGATGTTCGGTTGTAATTTCTCCTTTATTTTTTGTGCAAAATTTAATACTATTTGCAGAATGTTTTCATATTATTTTTGTCTATGAAACAAAATGGTCTTTCACATAAAATATAATGTATTAATTTATTTCCACAAAATTTAAGTAAACTACACAGAATTTGGAGAAATTACTTGCAGGTTCCATCTGGTCCAGGTCATGACAAAGAAATTGTTATCATCAATGAACATAATTTCTATTCACTTTTACAACTTTTAAAACAATCTAATCCACTACTGTGGTGGAAACTAATAAAGAAACATTTCCAATATTATCTCATCAACACAACAAATCCTATCAGTTCCACCAGCAATGTGTTTAATACATGCCTATTCTCAGAAGCTGACAACATTACTGAAGCAAAGAGAAACTTGTTGCTTCTATAAAGTGCAGAATGACTACTGTTCTTATAACCTGAAACTCAACTTTACATACTGATAAACTTTAATGTGATATACTGATATGAGTGTAGTTTTACAAGAATGACAAATGAAAATATCTATGCCGACTAAATATTTCTTTCCAATAACTGATTGATAAATGTATACTAATAACAAAACAGTGCTTATGTTAAAATATTTTAAAATGAATATTAAGTTCATTCAAGCAACTAGGTTTGCTAAGACTAATTATTTTGTAAAGGTCTCATTAACCCATTCACTGCAGCTGTCATGTATAAGGGTCAGACTCTTTCTTCCGTATATGGGATTCTGTTGACATCGTGAGGGGTTCTGATAAGAAAAAGCAGAAAAAAGATTGACCCATTGTTTGGTAACAAGTTTGGGTGGATGGAGAGTGCCTCAAATGCTTATAAATACTCCTTCGTAATTCTCGTAGGTAACTTAAAAATGAAATCCATGTATGGCACAGGGACAGTGTACAGAAGAAAAAAGTCCAACCCATATACATGACAGCCACAGTTAATGGGTTAAATTAGACTCAATTAGACTGATAATATTAAGCTGATTGCTTAAAAATCTCTAATAATACACTTATACTAAAACAATTTAAATTCACTTTAACAAGATTTATTTAACAAGCAGGATCGTGTGTTTTGGAAAATATCAAAATCAAATGGAATTTTGCATAAAACATGTTAGTTATAACTGTGTTTGCTTTATCTTTTTTGAAATCTTTACTATAAAAAACAACAACAAAAGCTGATTTTTTTAGTTTGTTTGAAGTTAAGCACAAAGCTACACAATGGGCTATCTGTGCTCTGCCCATCATAGGTATCGAAACCCGGTTTCTAGCATTGTAAGTCCGGAGACTTACTGCTGTGCCACTGGGGGACAGTATTATTATTATTATTACTAACTTAGGTTGATAATGTTATTAATTAAATTACTTTCTTTGTGTTAGTTTGTTATTTATAACCTCCTGGAACCTATAGTAGGTTTTACAGTTTAAGGCAAACAGGAAAACTCCAACTATTCTGCTGCCAAACAGATACTAGTATAATGTCCAGCCAAACCAAATATCACAGAAAGTAGTCAAATATCCATTAAAATCTTAACCTTTTATTTTGTACACTTTGGCATTGAACCAATGGTATCAGATAACAATATTTTGTGATGCATTACTCATTAAAAATTAGACTTTGTAAAATCACAAATTTATGGCTTAAATTATTAGAAAAACCAACATATGGTACTTCACTGAAAGGGTCAATTTCAAAACATTACACTAATCTGAAACCAATCAGCTTCACTCTCATCAAAATGATAGAAAGTCCATGAGTTACCAAGTATTTCTCTTAAAATACTTCATCTTCTTTTGAACTTCCAGTAATACTTTAAGTAAATAATTCCATGAGTATTGTAAAAGAGGATTAAAACTAGCACTCACATGATCATGAAAGGCTTGTTTCTGGTGTTTAGATTTGTCATGAAAAAAATTCGTCATCCAGTCCCCAAGTATAAGTTGTTTGTAAGCCTTTTCATAATCTTGATGTTGTAAGAAATCTTCCACAATCTGTCTTGTCTTTTGTTCAGCTTTTGGATGTTGAAATCTAGTGATTAGATGTAAAACAATGGAGAACATTTGAATTTCTAACTATATTAATTGTATGTAAACTGAATAACTTAACAGCAATATGAACAATTTATTACAGATATCAGTATTACTAGTAAAGATGATTATAATCCCAAAAGAAAAAGTGGATATATAAATAAAATCACTTTACTGCTAGAATATACCAAGTCTTGACTTATAGCTAAAGTAGACTGAAATGAGCTAAATGTTCAGCATGGTTAGAATATTTTATAGTGAAATCGATATTCTTTTTCTTAATATCACACTTGAAAAACTTGAATGTACCTTGGAGCCATTTGCTGATAATATTAACACACAAAAAAACACAGTATTTCTCATCATCAAAATGTCAATCTGACAAGTAAGTGTATATGATTCATAGAGATAATGTGTAAGTTTGCTTTACTGTTTTACAAGTCTGGGAAAAATCAATGAATACTAACATTTTTCTGGTGTACAATTAATGAATGAATATAAACACAAACCAAATCCTTACAGATCAATATTTATAAAAAAGTTGAAGGTAACAGTAACTTTTATGATTCTTATTAAAAGGCTACTCTTTAAAAGAATACAGTTGAAACAACTGTCCAGTCTGTTTCAGTTTCCTACTCAAATAAACATCAAATGGATTTTCTTGAATTGCCAACAAATATGACAGAGCCAAAAGAATAGTTATATTATAATGCTTCACGGTCAATAATGAGAAGGAAACAGCAGTGTAGCTGTCATACAACTTGGTTTATGTTTATAAAAGCACACTAGGAAGAATAATAAAAATCACTAGTGTATATATATATATATATAGTTTTAATATGTATATATAAAAGATAAAAATAACCTATTGGTCTCATGGTACCTTACTGAGCTTTACTATTTACTGTATATATGATATAGTAGAGGTTTTTGTTCTGTTGTGTTATTGAGGAGGTTGAATGGATCTTTGGAATCAATTAGCTGTGGAATTGAAATACTTTGGAAAGGATATAGTACATTTGAATAAGATGGAAGCTGACATTTTTGCATGGGCTATAAATTAGTTATACAGATAGCTTTAATTAAACAAGCAATAGAAAGTAGTGAAGATTTGAATGCCGATATTTAGTTCAGAGCAGAAAATACGTTGGATAACTTTTTGGTGGACATGAATGGATAGTGAACACTGTTGGGAGTTGAGCCAAGGGAGCTAGATGTGAAATTTTAAACAAACTGAAGATGATGTGATCTTAAAAGGACAAAATGGATTTGCAAATAAGGTTAAATGTTGTAACTCTACTTAAAGTGTAGTATTCTGATATGATGTAAATAACTGAAACGTGGTTGGATTTAAAGATGACAGACATTCAAGGAATATCCAAGTAGAGTTTATTCGACAGTAATAAATTCTTTAGAAACAGTGAGGCTTTATAAAAAAGTAAGTTGCAGCTTACTCATTTGAAAGTTATCAAGCAGGAAAATATGGAAGTTGAGTTTATATGGGTTTCAGTTGTATTTATAGGGACCAGATAGCCAAGTGGGCCGAACGACAGTAACTCACCATCCCACAGATATAAGTGACATACATTCAATAAAATGACTGCTGAGCAGGCTTTCTTGGAGCACTAGGAATGTAGCCTTGCTGAAATAAAGATGTATTAGAGAATGACAATAAACAGCCTTCAGAGAGAGCTCGCTTGTGTCCAGTGGTGATTTTCAGAAAGAAGTAGGGCACACCTAGGTTATTTATCGATGGGGTGAACAAGGTAACTTGCATTGATGCCTTTCCCCTTCTGCCTTCAGCTGAAAGTCTGAATGCATTAGAAGAAGCCCATTGATTGAACATTTTAGCCCTGATATTTGAATCCTGGCAAGTTAAACTGGATAATGAGAGTAGACCTTCAACTGTATTTAAAACAACAGATGCCTTATACGAGTTTAGCATTAAGGCATTTGGTCCATATAATGTCCTTACCACTTTAAGAAGCTAATGGAACTTCCACTCAAGAAGCTGCAATGACAAAGATGTATGGTCTATGTGGATGACATCTTGGCGTTTGGTTTCACATTTGAATATGTGGCTGAAAACCTGAATATGGTACTCCTGCAGATAACAAGGCAGGCTTGAAAGTGAAAACAGGAAAATGTGCAATTATATGAATAGAAGTGGAATTTCTTAGTCATATTGTGGTGGATACAAATGGAATCTAGAGCTACTGATCCTGTTTAAACCACAGTGGTGGAAGACTAGTGATTCCTTGGTTTTGGATTGTATTACTATTGATTTATGGCCAACTTATTCAAGACTGTCACACCATTATTTGCTCTTACTAAAGTCCAGACACACTACAGACTAACTGAGGAATGTAAGCAAGCATTCCTATCCTTGAGGCATACTTTTACTGGAAGCTCCAGTTGGTGTAACCTCAACAAGGCTGTGAATTCTTGTTGGATACTGATACATCTGACAGTAGAATTGGAGCTCTGTTATCACAGTTGTACAGCAGAGTAGAACCTGTGATTGAATATACTAATTGTATGTACACTCACGGCTCTTGAATACAAGTAGTGTATGAAAAAGAAAAATCTGCTTACAGTTGTGGTCTTCATGAATCACTACCAACACTACCTGTAATGGTACAAAGTTCACAGTTTAGGTTTACCACATATCACTGACGTGGCTGATGAGTTTTAAAAATCTTGAAGAGATAATACCATATTAGATAACAATTCATTTCCAGAACATAACTTAATGATCATCCAAACCTGCAACTGATGGATTCTCACACTAAGGGTTCACACACTTATCTAAACAACCAATTCAAGGACTCAATAACACTGAGTTTAAGCAAAGTGAATACAAAAGAGAATGCAGAACAAGAACTGCTAAGAACACGAAAAATGAGCCTGACAAGGTTACCATTTAATACAAAAATATTTTAAGGCTTGATATGATACTAGTAACATAATAATGTACATGCATTTATTTGCTTTTCAGTTCAGTCAGTTTTTCATCAAGCATTTCCTCCACTTTTTGAGTCTCGCTTTCTTGCCCTTTGCACTTTGACGAAGATTGTTGGACTTAACAATAAGGGTTAGCTTCCCAGTGGTTTCAGTCTTCAGAGCCAGTTTGTCAGCAGATGTCTCAAGAGACTCACTATCATCTTGGAGCCTTCTTTTCTTGGGTTTGAAATCATCTATTTCATCAAGAATGGCCTTTCTTTTTTGGCTTTTCTTCTCCTCTTTTATTTATCATTTCTGATCATCCAGAAGTGCAATGTATCTCTGTTTTGCAACAGATACAGACTGTGTCTATGATTACCTTTTGGATACCCCTTACTGCTCTAAGGTGACCATAGATGCATCTCTGAGCAACGTACGTTCCATCTTTCATGCTTACTACTTCAATTTGTCCATTATCTGAAAACCCTCTTTCAACTTAACCTTGCCCATGTGACAACAACAAAATAGCTTTTCAGACTGTTTGTCCTTAGACATTAATCATATAGCAGGGTATCCACTCTGTCAATGATAGAATCAAAATCAGAAAACACAGAACAGTTGTTCTCCATAATACCATCAGTAAACTGTGAATACTGATGAATGATATCATCACAATCCTCCTCATTGACCTAGCACTGATCCACAGGGTGACTAAAAGCCTTTTTTAGCTTATCGATGCACTGTTCCTTTGCTCTGAAGTCTGATATCTTGCAGGGTTCCAAGAATAAAAGATCAGCCACTAGGGTCAACTTTTGTATAATCAAGGTGACGAGATGTCTTATCTACTTTGACATCAAGAAATTTGTCAGCAGACTTGACTTCCTTCATTAAGTCTGGCTTCATAAACCTGTTCATCAGTTTCTTAAGGAACTTGAAAAAGTCTGTAGCTAGAAATAAACCATGGACTTATCTGATTGGTATAGAGTCAGGAAGGGTGTCATTTCCTTGCTCAGTGACAGGATGAAGTTCAGTATTGGAGTCACAAGTGCATAATTGGTGGTTTACTTGATGATTTCAAAGAATTTTGTACCTGGATTTGGATACTTCCTCTCTTCTACTGCTTTTATGTAGATTGCCATGTTGGGAAAGACTTCCAAAGCCCTTTTCAGCACTGGTCTGTTTTCTAACCATCTTGTTCTGCAGAATTTCAGTGGCATGGGGGGAAATCCTGTGACCCAATAGCTTTTAAATAATCTTCCCAACGAACAGAATTGTCTTTCAGTAGCTGGTGTACCTGCAACTCTGACTCAGCTACTTCCACTCCCTTCTGCAATGCCCCCTGCACCATATGTAAACCACAATTGCCAATGAGGATGAGATGTACACCATGGTCATTACAAAGGGACTGCTGAACTTTTGAGTAAAATGACCAGTTAACATTTGACCCATCCATAGAAATCTGTAATATCTTGGGTATGGTAGTGCATCAGTGCAATTCTCATATGTTGTTTTGAGATCCTCAGCCGTAGCATGTCCTGTAAACTGTGAATCATAGAATTGTGACACCACAGTATCTCCATTCCACAGTCGATTATGAAAATTACATTGCTTGGATTGAGTTTTAACATTCAGGCTTTAATAAAAGAGCACAACATAGTCATTTTTCCTGTTGTTAGTTGGTTTGATAGCAGCTGCTTAAAATGCAGTGCTACACAAAAGGTGCAGATGTAGACAATCTTAGTTCCCAACACTTGAAAGTCCTAGCAATGCTACTATCAAGAAACATTCTTAAGAAAAGATCACCTGAAAATATAAAAGAAAAAACAAAATTAGGATGGCTATAACATAAGAACAATACATTAAAACTAATACTGATTGCCAAAGGAAAAATTACTGATATAACTTATTTGATAAAATTCTTTCTGAAGAGGGAGGACATTGAAAAGTTAAGCTCTAATACTAAAGTTATAGATTTCTGAAATTTATTTAATATTATTATTATAATTTGTAGTAATTTGGGTTAAATAACAATAATAACTAGATATAATAAGATTGGTA